TACCTTAGGTTAAGGCGTTTCTACCTTAGGTGTAGTATTTTTACTATCTGTTAAGGCATTTCACCCATAACGCCGAGTTATTTTGAACTCTCTCAGCTTATCGCAGTTAATTTACGTAGCCTTACTTGTCGCAGTCTTGTACCAAATGCACACTGTCCTCCTGTTGGGAATGCGGCCTTCGTAGAGGCCGTTGCTGGAGGAGTGAGAAAGGTTGTTGACCCTGTTTTTTGCTCAACGCGTTTCTAAGATGGCTCTCACCTGAAAAAGTGATAAAGAAAATGTCATTAAATGGACGTACTTTAGCAGAAATTGAGCAGAATGTTATGGAATTTGATACACCAGAAGTTCTTGAACTGAAAAAGAACACAGGCTACTCTTTTATTGTCAAAATATGCTTTGAATTATGCTTCTGCGCAGAAGAGCTGTATTAGTTCTTTTTTACCATATGAACCTGGCAAGGAGAGCGGGCGGCCGCTCACTCGACTGAATTTGTCCAACTTATTCGAGTGAAATAAAACATAACTCGAGTCTCTATGCATTCGTGTTATAAAGTCAACTAGGTTCATCGATTTGATTCTGTTACCAAAGGTTGCCACTAGAGGTCACTTCGCTTATCAGCTTTATTTATCTATACCGCTTATTTTTTACTTTGTTGATTACTCAAAAAAACAATATGTCAAAACTCTTTTAATGTGTATTTGTCAAAGTTTACTACTAAAAGAAATCTCGCTCAAATTGCAAACTCGCAACTCGAGTAAGGTAGTTAAATGACTCGAGTCAATAAATCCCATCCGAGTCCCATCACTAGGTGATGTGAGCGCACCCCAGTGTTGCCAACCTTACTGTTTTAACAGTAGTTTTGCTGTTTCATTCTGATGCCCCTGTTTTCAGTTTCATTCCTTATTTTTACTGTTTTTCAATTAACATTCATTACACTATGGAAGCCACAGAAAGGCTTCTGAAGAAGTTGAATAAAACAATGTGGAAACTAACTTACATAGCTTTTAATTTCGGCTCATTTATCTTTTATTCTCTATTGTGTGATCAATATTATAATATAACAATGTATGTAAGTTCTGACAACTTATAAAAGTATATCAGTTTTATTTATATGAGTACAGAATGAAATATACCTTTTTAACCATATCCTACTGTTTTCTCCTGTTTTTATATTGGTGATCTGGCGTTATCTAGTTTCAAGGGGCTGGCAACACTGGCGCAGCCTCTATCATACAAACCTGGCAAGGAGAGCGGGCGGCCGCAGAGAGTGAGGTCGTGTGAGCGCGGGGAGGCGGAGCGCGAGGAGCGCCTGCCCCCGCCCCCGACGCGCTCCTCGCTACCCCGCGCCCGCCGGGGGGACCGGTTCCCGCTTAATAGTTCCTGATACAAGTACAATTTCTTTTAACGGCGAACCCTCGAGTTTGTTAAAGTATAAAATAGAGCTAGCGTGTGAAATAGGGTAGTTGTAATATAGTTAATACCATTTAAAGTTTTCCACCGACTGTAAGTGCATATACTATAAAAATTCCTACTGTAGACTACGATCACATTGAATTGTCTTGCAATTGAATTGACTGTCCAAAAAGGAGTGAACTATGTATAATAATATGTAGTACCTACATATGTTTGCGAGTTTCTTTATTCCACCATAACATTGGAAAGACTTTACGGAATGCATAACTAGAATATCATTAGAAACGTTGATCATCCCGAGTGACATTGGTTAGATATTTATAAAAATATATTCAAAATGGCGGATGTACGACGCAATTGAAAAAATATGAAAAACTTTTTTTTTGGTAATTATAGCAATATTAAATTAAAGCTCTCGATGAGTTCATTCCAAAAATATATAACTTGTAATTAACAAATCACTATAATTAAATAATTTAAAAATAGCGTTTTTAAATTATTGAATGCCAAAATCGTACTAAAAATGAAAGAAACAAGTTTTATTATAGGTTGGCTAAACAAAATTCTCATTGCATTCTCCGAAGCGCAGAGTAGCTCAAGACAAAATTTTTTTGGTCACCTATCCCGCGACTGATCCTTGAAAAAGTTGCTTAACGCGGGTAGCAGAACTTATCCACTACACCACCGAACTATTCGGTTCTAAAACCAATTAAAGGATACTAATTTTGGGTGTACATATCCTCTTGAAACAAAACCTACTACAAGAGTGCAGGAATCATGCAGACTGCAGAATAATGCTATGTGAGCGATGTATTATAACGCTGGCCCATCAGTGCAAACCTAGAGAAAGCTTATTGTCTACTTCAATCATAATCCCTTCAAATTTAACATTTAAAAGATATTCACGAACTTCACGCTACAACTATTTTACATATAGCCATTTGCACAAACGTTCATTATAATTGTCATTAATTTAAAGCGACATTACTGACACAGAGTACTCCTTAATGGACGTTTGTGCAACTGACCGATAGCCAATTATCGTTTATCGAAGAAAGAATATTGCTAATAATAAGAAAATATAAAAAAAAGAAGTATCGATGAAAACGCGCTGATAACTCATAGATTAATAATCAATAATAAAAATTAATAATTAATAAGTGTAAGATATTGCCACTGTTTACACTTTCATTTATAATTCACTGCGATGAGCTATTAAAGGCCGATGCTGATGAAACTGTCGTCTGGTGACTTTCATCAGCTAGCGAATTCTGCTGCTTACGTAAGATGAATCTCAATATAATCTCGACTAGAGTTCGTCTCACGAAAGGAGTCCCTCGGATCACAATGTTTTCGCCTTTATTACAAAGGAATAAGAGTTATGCTGAGGGACTTGTTTTGTGAGACAGACATCTACCAGAATGCCTAGTGTAAGTTTTTTTGATGTTTACGTTCACTGTCGATCGTGAGCGCGTTAAGATTTTAGTATAGAATCCGGTACAGCACCTCTAGCGGTAACTACCAAGAAGTAAAAATCTCCATACAAATTCTTAACGCGCTCACTAGTGAACGCGTTAGCGTAAAACTTACACTTACCACTCTGAAGTCTAATATTATTAAATATTGGTCACCATTGATATATGAAGAAGACGATGCGCTAATAATATTTGTTATTGAGATGCGATTGCGTAATAATCAGCGATTAAAGATGAAATGTCATATTTAGACATTTCATTATCAAGGGTTTATGGATAGAATTATGGATAAAATAAAGAAATTAATGGTAATTAATAATGAAACTTCAATAAAAAAAAATATCGGCTTTCTGATTATTGTTTCATTATATCGTAGGTATATTTATTTTGAGTTTCTATAAATATTTATGCTTAAATACTGATACTCACTACCAGGGTCGCCACCGTTTCCGAATTTTCCGGGACAGTCCCAATTTCAATAATGTTATCCCGCGGTCCGATTTCTTATTCATTTTGTCCTGATTTTTTATAAAACTCGACAAAAAATATTAATTTCGTTTTGCTATTTTTTTTAAGGCTGTAATAAAATCTAGCACAGTCTCATTTACGTGTTGATTCCTTTTCACGAATTTGTAAGACTCTAATATTCTTTAAAAATGTATACATGCTAAGGATCACCAATTGCTTTGTCTAATAAAAAAGACCTTTATTGTTCCTGCAGTCTTTTGATGACAATAAAACTCAATATTAGGCTGGAGTTGATTATTTCTGATAAGCTTCTGAATGTCCCGAATTTTGTTTCCCAAAAGGTGACAACCCTGCTCACTACTCACTTACTAATTATTCTACAAATAACATACCAAATACATTATGAAATCATCATAATTTAATAAAATAAGTAGATACACGAATAATTAACAAAGAGACTATATAAAAATTAAATATCACACTTGACATGGAACATTCTGATAAAAAAAAGGTCAAATATTTTTGCGAATAAAAAATCCTACTAGTGTATTAGTTACGCAATTATATTCGTAAGGTACCAATTACACAAATAAAATACATACACACCTGATTTATATTAAAAAAAAACATATAATTAATAAAAAAATAGGCATGCAAATCATTAAGCGAAATTTGATAGTTGAACGACAATAAAAAAATTGGCCAAGTCGGACTCTCGCACGATAGGTCCCGTACCGGAAAAAAGCAGAAAAAATTAGATGTAATGGAAGCCCCCTTGAATATTTCCCCTATTCCACATATCCCTACTGATAAATCCCCACTAGAAGGGATAGTAGGACTTTTTTCCAATTATAGCTACCGGTAGGAATATATGGAATCTGTAACTCCACATATCTTCACCGATTTGCACTGGTTGTTAATTTTATTCTAGTTTTTAATATTTGTTGTTGAAGCGGCAACAAAAATATATCTGTGTAAATTTCGACCGTTCAACTTTTACGGTTACAATATATGAGATACAACCTCATCAGACTTTAATGCTCATTCTCTATGCCAAATAGAAGCAAAAAATAGGTATCTAAAATTTATCTATTTTCTGACTGGCGCACTTAATAGAATTCCTTTTTTATACCCAGTCATAATCTATATAGACTGATGAGAAACCGGGATTTCTCTCTTACTAGCCGAGATCAAACCTGACTTTTACCTACTCTAGCATAAAAACTCTATGGTCCCTAATAGCTGTTAGAGAATGCGTGAAATTATTACTAATTCCCGTTTCACACCTCCCATTTTATTTTACCAAAGCAACTTTATTAAACGAAATGAAAAATTTATCGAATACGAATTGAATTCGTGCCGAGTCCAATTTTTTTTTTTTTTATTTAATTATAATTGTACGCCATTTACATTTAGTTTTTCAGACACATAGTTGTCATTCAATATGCACTCGAAGTTACAAGGATACTTGAACAGTTCTACAGGATTTTTAGAACTAATAAAAGCCTTAGGACAAATATATTTAGAAAAATTATAGCATGCTCGTGTTACAGGCGTGCTACCGAGACATTAGTAGCTTTATTAAATATACATTTGTAATAGAATTTAATAGCTTCATTTACCGAGACTTGAACGATATGCAAAGATTTTATAAAAAGCAACGTAGAAGAAAGATATTAACCGTTAATATGCTACTGACAGATATTTCAAAATTAATAGTTTAAGAAATACAAAAAAAATTGCGTTGAAATTGGTGAGTATTTAATCATTACCTAGTCCCGTTTTTAAATTTTCTTAATTCCATAAAGCATTATAAAAATTGTACAGTAATAGACATTAAAAGACTTAAAAACCATTATACAAAACAAAAACAAATTTTTATATTGTACATATATTTAAAATTGCACTTTTAATTTTACTTGGCACATTTAATTATATATCACATAAATATTAAGTCAACGAATTTTAAAAGCATTGATGTCTCGGTAACCAACTGGTTTACGTAAAAACATTTCGTGCTTTTCGTCCATAGAGAAAAGAGTGATATAAGCAACAGATACATACAACACATATATACATAGTACGACACATAAATATAGCGTAATGTTAGTAACCTTTTCCTGGGAATTGACCGAAAAAGCGCTATACGACACGGGGCTGTCCGCACCGAAGTCGAAAGCGCTCGAAGCGCGGTACGATACCGTATCTGCACCGTCAAAACAACAATGTAAATTCTATTAGGCATTATTGCCAACTATACTGTTAAATTGTTAACACTATTATATTAATCTTAATTAAAAATGCTTTAAAAATCCACCTCATATACCCCGAGATGGGACTCGAACCCACAATCTTTCTTTTATTTTTCTTTTATTTACGTTTCAAACCCTGCACAGATTCCATGTTCACATAAGACTAGACCTTCAAAACAATACTATTGGACACATTCTTCTATTTTTCTACTATATATTATGGAAACGAAATGCTTTAAAAATCCACCTCATATACCCCGAGATGGGACTCGAACCCACAATCTTTCTTTTATTTACGTTTCAAACCCTGCACAGATTCCATGTTCACATAAGACTAGACCTTCAAAATAATACTATTGGACACATTATTTTATTTTTCTACTATATTTTATGGAAATGTTTAAATTTATTAAATTATTTTAAAAATATATTTATTTACCCCTGGCTACAGTAAACTACCAACAGTTCCAAATTTGGGAGTCTTGTCTGAGATGAACAGGCGGAACTAACTCCGTCAAGAAAAGTGAAACCCTTCTTTTTAACATTTACAGAATGAACTAGGTGTATCTTTTGGTATTGCAATGTGTGATCTGGATTGAGATATTATTTGATTAATTACTGAATCCCAAGCTGGTGGTGTATTCCAACCTTTATATCTACTAAAATACGGATGTTTTTTTTAATTTCTAATAGCAACAACAACCAAATTTTATATTCATACCTACAGAACTAAGGCGAAACAAACAGTTTGTATTTAATGAAACAGTTTTTGTGAGTTTCTAGAGCTAAATATATTCATTATCTGAAAAAAAAACAACTAAAAATCTTGTTTCAGTAACAACATTTGTTAAAAACGTCACAAGCGATTTTTATTTAATTTCAATATTTGGAATACTATTAGGTGACTTTTAACTCAATATAAGAAACTTTAGAGTACTGATGGTGCGTTATAGAAATCGAGCCTTAAAACACATTAGCTAGCAAATATCAAACTATACCATATTAATAGAGAACATCTTACAATAAATTATTGCTCTTGGACTTTCAACAATGCTTAGTTAAGGCTACAAATTGGCTGCTTTTTTTTCTCCAAATCCTTTCAATATGGTTAATGAAGGTTGGTTTACAATTAGGTTGTAGACATTTAATAGCCGTAAAATTATAAATACACTCCTAGTCAAAATCTGAGTAGATAAAATATCAAGGTAGTTAGCATGTAAGAGGAGTGGTTTTTTATTGAAATATTTGTTTCTCCACTCAGTAGTTGCTTAATCATTATTAAAAAATTCATTTGATTTTTCCCGTCAATAAATTAGGTATTTCAAATATACAGGCTAGTAAATGAGTAAGAAGCTTAAAACATAAGTAGATTTGTGTGAATCTAGTACTGTCTATACTATGGATTCAATGATTAATAGAATTAAGGCATTTTATTTTTGTATAGATTATATCCCAATACATATGATGCTCATACAATAAATGTTGACGATTTTCAGTTTCAGCAATAAATATCTTATGAAATGTGAATGTGTTCTCCTAAAACAAATGTTAACACCATTATTAATTAGATATTACGGTATTAAAAAAGATATAATTTACCATGTGGCCAGCAGCTGATTGGAGGTGGAGATCTAATCATATGCTCATGGACCTCTTTAAGAGTTAACGGATCTTCTTCTACGAAATCTAATGCTGTGCTGCCAAATTCCTATAAGTAATAAAGAAATCTTCAATTAAAATAACTAGTTATTAATGATAGCAATTCACAGCAAGGCACAAATTGATTCTATTTTAATTGAATCAAACAACATTTTCCACTCTGTAAATAACTACAATATACAGGAGTCTGTAAACTTTTGGGGAATACACAAGTGGTACACATAAACGCAATCTGGTTTCAAGGTAAGTCATATCTAAGGTAGGTTCTATGCCCAGTCTTGACCTTTGCCTTGGCAATGTAGAAAAGTAAGTTTATCTATGTTGGCTTAGGTACAAGTGTTCTTGTACTTTGTTATTTCATATTTCCATAATACAAGTGCTAAAACTTATTCGAGACCTGAGCAACAATGTCATGATGTATTAAAATTTTATATATTTGATTAGATGCAACTACAAAAACTTAAAGACAACCCCAAATTAAAAGTAGTTTTTATGTAAAGTAAGTACTTTTTATGTAGATACTTACTTGCGACATCAATATAGTGTCATCTGACTCACAATCATTTGCTTGGCTTTCTATCAAACTCTCCCGGCTAGCCATAACTTGCTGTAATTACATAAAAGTGTATTAAAAATATATACATAACTATAGCATGCTACATTAATCACCACATTACATGAGTTAAACAACATTTAGTTAACGCATCAGTTAAATTTAAAATTATAGATACAATTTCTATGCAATGATGCTATAAAATGTAGTACTAAAACTATAGTTAAAAATAATGCAGACGCATAATATTACGCCACAATGCGGAACTTACGTAAGTTATATTATGATAACAAACCAAATATTACTTGTAAATACGGATTGTCTTGTCTCGATAATCGGAGGGCTTCCATGTCCTGTGCTATGTTTCGGGTCCGTCCAGGAGTCAGCAGAACTGCCGACGAACCTCCAACTGATGGAGCTAAAACTGTACCACGAATAATATATTTTACACACCACTGGTTAAACACAATGTTACAATAATATATTTAAGACAACACGTACTCGATAATGTATCATTGCTCCCTTCCATTTTTACAAAAAAACTAACACCTTTGTAAATAATTTCAATATTGGAAAACCCTTCCCTGAATCGTGATAATTAAAACAAAGATAATCACAAATGTAATATGTACTGCACAAAAAATTAAGAAAATGAATTAAACTGTACACTCCGCGTTATTATTTATTTTTATTGAATTTCACTGGTTTCTACATTTTTCTATAATAACATATGAGACAGAAAAAAAACCGAACAACAATTGACTAACGATTTGACTGTCAAACTTTTGCCACTTTTTTATTTTTAATTCTTTTCATCCTTTTCAGGGTAGGCAAAGGACTTTCATTCATACAGCCACAATATATTTTAATAGTCTCTTTCAAACTTTTGTCAAAATTGACAACATTTGAAAATTTAAGAGTAATAATATGATTCATTTCATTTTCATTTTACATGTAGAAATTTATTAGAAATTTATTTATTTGCCCAATCGCTGGAGTCTTTCAAATCTCTAGCTGCGAAGTTCTTTTTGTCAGATGAACAGAAATCTATTTGATATGTTGCCTTCTTATTATCTTAAGCATCGTATGTTTATTTATTTTATGTAACTTTATTATCATATTTTTATTTCCATTAATATTATTAAATTTATTTGTAACGCGCACAGCCTACCTACATTATTGTTATAATTGCTTCTTCCAGTATAGGTTGCCAGGAAGAAATCGCTGTTAAGCGACAAGGCCGCCTATTGTGCAAATGTTTTAATGTTTATAAGTTTCTCTTTATTTATTTCTGTTGTGTGTTGTTCAATAAAGTGTTTTTATTTTATCTTATCTTATTCACTTGACATTGGCAGAATTGTGCAAAATGCGCAAATAAGCCATTAATAGAAGAAGAATAAGAATAATGAGTAATAATATTGCTATTTTACACATAAGAGAAAGTATTTAAAAAAAACACAAGTTCCCGAAATCTTAGAAGATGTCGCCACGGTACGTTCTTGATTTCTCCATGACAACCTTCCCGGTTTTCATTCATGTTTAAAAGTAAACTTTTGTCAAAATTGACAACATTTGAAAATTTAAGAGTAATAATATTGCTATTTTACACATAAGAGAAAGTATTTAAAAAAAACACAAGTTCCCGAAATCTTAGAAGATGTCGCCACGGTACGTTCTTGATTTCTCCATGACAACCTTTCCGCTTTTCTTTCATGTTTAAAAGTAAATTATTTTCCAAAACTCAATAAACAACTCATATTCTATTTATACTTTTTCGTAGTTGTATTGATATCAAAGTTTCGAACTTTTCGAATTTCAGTTTTCAATATGTAGTTAACAGGAACAAAAATGACTGTCTTTGGTCCATTTATTTCCTGCAAAAATCAACTTTTTCTAGAGTCGCCATCACTAAAAAAGCACGTCCGCTTTTTAGTGCTTTCGTTTTTTTAATACTTCCTCATTATTAAACAAATAGATTTTAAACTTTATTTGAGTTATTAAGTATTAAGTGCTAAATGTTTTATCTTTTAGTGCTTTCTTTTTTTATTCCTATATATTTAAAAATCAAATTTAATTTATTTGAACTGCAACTTTAAATTATTTATTGTGTTACCTATAAGGAACGATATCTAGTTTATATATCAAGATTAGTATGAGCCAACTTATTGGTTACTCGTAACTTCAATTGTCTCGATTCATTTGATTTCGGATGATGAAGACAAAAGTGAAGCGCAGAATTCTATTTGTTATTTATGTTTTCCGCTTCCAGGTTCTATTAAGCATTACTTTTTTACTGATAAAAAACCACATTCATACACCATACATATTATAAAAATATTGTTGAGACTTGACGTAGTTTTATTGCTATTAGATCAACTAAGAGCAATAAAACTGACTTATAGTTATTATTGCTATCAGAAAAAAGACTTTCTTTACCATATGCATTTTAATTCAAAAAATACTATGTCACGGTAATATTATTTTGTTTAAATATCACATTTATGTTCTATAGATTTCGATATGATTCAAAAAACTAGTTAGTTTTAGTTAGTTTGCATCGTCCTTTATATAAATATAAAAGTATTTATTCAAAGCTTCGTTAATGCATACTCGAGTTGCGTATAATCAAACCACTTAACTATAATTTGGGTATTTCTTTATTGGCGTGTAAGGTGATATTTAACTTATTGGTAAGTTGAGTATCTGACTCTTTTTATAAGAACGGTCGATAAAATGAATAAACGTGTTCACAAGAATGAGTTTACTTTCAGATTTTTTGATGTTGAATGGACACACAAGACAAAAGCATTATTGTTTATACTATAAATGTCACATATTACGTTACAACACAGTGGACGACAAATATAATTAAACAGATGTGCCACAAAAGCCCTAAAAAAGCACCTCACTAGATGGCGACTCTAGCAAAAGTTAAATAAAAAAGTTCGCTTGAAATTTAAACCGAACATGACTGCGAGGACCCGTCTCAGTAGTATTATAGTTTATAAGTTAGTTTTTAACTGTGGTTTTTAAGCATCGCCCGCATCTTACAATCGCATTTAGTTTTTGAGGAAGTGTTTAAAAAAATAATAAAATAATAATTTATTTGCATTTGAATAGGGTATACAAAAGAGATGTAAAAATTAATACAATTATCACCTATTCAGCTATTAACAATAGCATGCAAATGTAGTAAAAGAAGCCACTATAAGCACTAATCAATCCATCCCAATCTAACGTACAGTTTCTATAGATTGTCTTGTGAACTAATGCAACGAATAAAAGGAACGCTCAGCTAGTCAGTTATATAACTCTTTCTTAAATCTTGTAGGAGGTGTATTCTAGATTCCGGAATCTTATTAAATATTGTTTGACACATACAGTAGCATTCTTAAATCGCGCGCTTTTTGAGACTATGTCAAGAAATAGCCTATTCTTATTTCAAGTGATCCTAGCATACACTTCATGAGCTATTTTTTAATAATCAGGGTATCGTTTGGCAAATTTCGCTGCTTCAAATATATATAAGCGAGGAAGAGGCAGAATACCGAGAAATTTAAACCATTACTTACATGAGACGTCGGGAGCGATACCACATATGGATCTTATGCATTTTTTCAATAAATACCCTTTGCGCATCTGTACCATTGCCCCAAATAATAATTGCATAACGTAAAATTGACTCCACATAAGCGAAGTATGCCGTGAGAGCCGTACTTCTTGTCGCTACTGTCGATAATTTAAACAATGAAAATGAGAAGCTATATATCTTATTACAAACGATTTCTGGCTGTTGTTTCCAATCTAGTTTCTTGTCAATCGTTATGCCTAAGAATCTAACGTCATCAGCTTCTTCAAGCGTGTATTTTTGGTACTTAACATTCAAGTTATTAGAAATTATATTATTAAAATTTATAAAATATGTTTTGTCTATATGTATTGTCAGATTATGGAATTTAAGCTAGTTTACTATGGTCATTATTGTATTATTTATGTCGTTTTCGTGGTCACAACAACACTTTAATGTGTAGTTACATTTGGTAGGTCGTTAATATACACCAAAAATAAAATAGGTCCGAGAACACTGCCTTGTGGATTGATACTTTCGATATATGCCCTTTGAATCTAATTGAGTAATTTCAACAGATTGCATTCTATTTTGTAAATATGTTTTGATCCAATTTAAAGCTGTACCTCTGATACCATTGTTATATTTTTTTTTTAGTAGTTGCTCATGAGAAACGAAATCGAATGCCTTTGACATATCAAAGAAAAGAGCTGTTGTATATTTGCTTTTGTTGGTGCTTATTTGTGGCCTTTGAGTCAAAGGGCGCAAGTGTAGTCGACTTATTTTTTTGAAAGCCATGTTTATTAATTTTTAGCACATTATCTTATACCGGGAGCCACAAAATGACCGACAAAGCCGAAAGTTTCAAGTCAGGTTACACGCAAACATCATTTTATTTGACAAATATTTCAAAATAAAGAAGGTGTAAAAAGGGAGTAAATTTTTTTTAATTTCTATGTGTTGTATAGATGCTCTTGTGTCGCGCATGCGTAATATCGATTGTGTGCAGATAATGGACCGCGAAATACATTAATTTAATTATTTCCCGATATCTTGATGATAGTCGATGCTGAAAATGTCCGTTTCCTCTCTGAAGACTGAACCAAGCACGCGCTTTTGCATGCCGATGTATGCATGCGCAAAACACATCACATTTAACATAAAACTAAACACGATCTTTACTAAACTACACCTAACACTCAAGACGAACACTGTAGTATCTTATTAACAAAAATTCAATTAAAAATGCACTAGAACAAAACAAAAATCGACAAAAAATGCGCTTTTTAGCGGTGCGTCGGCGGCGGTGCGCTACAAACACTCCAGCGCAAACGGTCGGCGGCGACTGAGCTCTGTTAGGAGTTGTATTATTATTTTATGCGACTGAGTTACAGGAACCCCCGACAGAACAATGAAGCGGGGTGGCAGTTGTCGGGCGGGTGGGGCTTTTATACAGGGTCGAACTCGGTTCACCTTTTTTTAATTCGTCTTTTGATATTATGCATTTTATAATGTTCTTTTTAAATGCAATTACTTTAATACTATTTTAATAACAAATTCCTTGTCTCGTTTATTGATTGTCTGGTATTATTTGCACGGAAGCGGTCTTATAAATCAAAAATTTGTTTATTTCTTTTTTAGAAATGAAGAAGTCAATGACAGATTAAAAACTTTTCCTTAGTACGTCCCAAAAACAGCTAACTCAGGGTTGAAAACACTCATTTTTTTCCAAAAACATATATTTTTTTTACATCATATTAAAGACAAATATTACTCTCCAGGAACCTTGGGAGTGTCGGTTGTTCTGTTCCACCGGGTATATATAAAAAAATTGTGTCACGATGTATGTATGTTGCCAATAAACTCCAAAACTACTGAACCGATTTCAATCAAATTTCACATGTACCCGTATTTTGGTCTAACTTACTGGATATAATAGTTATCGTCTCAATTATTCGCTTATGTCGTGAATCGAAACGAATAAAATGTACTAATTAATTGTTTCTTAAGCAAGTGTTTATTTACTGTTTAGTTTTATGAAGTTCTCATAGGTGGCGGTGTACAATGATTCATAGTTAAAATTCTTCAATATCGTTTGACATCTAGGTTGCAAATAGATACCCAATAGATGGCGCTGTGTTCTAGATGATGTTTATTCTAAAGTAATCTGCGGTAACGTTTCTTTCAAAGAATTTTGCATAGATTACGTTTTCGATTAATTTTTTTGTAAACTTCAGAACTGTTTTTGTTTTCATCTGTATTTCAAATTGCATTGAATTGGATTAATATTCTCAAGTTTCAAAGATAAAGCGCTGAAACATACTGGACACTTGTTAGTTTTTTTTTTGTACTATCTTCAAACTTAAACATCAAGGTC